TGGTCATTTCTTGCTTGATTTCATCATAAACATCCAATAGTGCTCGGTACCAAAATCTCATGTACTCCGGCAACAATTCCAGACAGCTTATATCCCACCTGAAAAATGATATTCCCGATAAATCGTTGGCTATTTTGACAGTAGAATTTCTAATTTTAAAATAAAATTTCTTAATGGGATGGTAATTTAGACTCAAGTGAACTTAAACCTCTCAATTGTTGCCGTGAGAAGCTGTAGTTCTTCAAGTGTGCCATGAACATCATATATATCATCAAGGACCGAGGCCAAACATATCACTTTGGTGGTTATCCTTCTCGCCAAAGCATAGCAAGGTTCGTAGAACACTCCCGACATCCACAAGTAACATTCCACCAACCGGTCGCGAGCAAAAGGCAACTTGCTCCTAAAACCCAATTCTTTCCACCACCTATAGATTAAAACAAAGTTCAAAAACAATATGACTTGGGCGAGTCACTTGGATACAACGTAAATATATATATATAGAGAGACTATTAGTATAATTTAGAAAAACATACTTGGAAATATTTCCGAGTTCATTTTGGTGCATCTTTTGAAGCATATTGAAATCTAACTTTGCCAGGGCAAGTAGAGTTTCATCGTGGGAAGGATCACCGTGGTAAGAAGATATGTAATGCCAAGCTTCTAGCCTAGGAAGATTCTTGCGAAGTGGGTGCCTTAAGCTGTGCTTGACTTTTGCGGCAAGAGAACGATTCAAATGGACGATCATAGACTCCAGATGAGTGGAAGTGAAAGCAAGAGCTTCATCTAATATATCTTCTCCGTGAACTCTAAGATGGGCAGCTTCATATAAGCTCAGCATTCCTTCTACATCAGTGGTTAGTCCTTCACTGATATTACCTTGCTGATCCTTGAACTTTTCAAACACATCTGGTTTATATGAAACAAGGTGATCAGATGTTTTAATTTATCATGTCACGTTGATTATGTATGTTGGGTGGTTGAGAGAGCAAAATGGTGTTTGAAGTGGCTAGGCAGAGAGGCTGAGACATACCAGGTGAGATGCGATGGCCATGTTGCCTTAGTAACCTAAAGAGAAGTGCAAGAGTATGGAGATCTTCTTCCAAAGTGATTTGACCATTTTCAACGTAACTATCATGAATCCACTGCAATATATCATCAATCTCAAGTTCAAAATGGTAGTTAACTCCTAAACGTTGGATTGCGTCGATCGAGTGCATTTTTGCTACGAGATTTTCGGTTGGAAGGATGAGCATCTTTCTCACTTCTTCCTTGAGCGTTTTGATATGCTCCTCCATTTTGTCAGTAACTTTCTGCAGATTCAACTTTGTGTTATTACTCTTGATAACATAAAAATGCCGGGGAACTATACATGCATATTGTCTTTCATACATGTTGTGTATATATCGATCTCTAATAATAGGCTACTTAGATACTAATGAATATATTTATATCCTGCGTTCAAAAAGCATTAGATTCGTTTCTTTCATAATGATCGCTATACGTGGGGAATAAAGCTGAAAAGACATAGTGGCAAGATACCAAAGATTCGGAGGCATATGGAATGAAATGATCTCCCCAAATGCTGGGAGGATAATTAGCAGAGCGCCGAGGGAGCTGGGATAAAGCGACGGGTGGCGAAGCTGCCAAAGACATGATGGATGCGGAGTTGCCTAAATGCCTCTCTTCAGTTACGTTTTCGACTAATTAAAGGGCTTTGAGTGATAAAACCTTAAAGCCTGTCTTCAAATTTATAAGACTTTTTCAGTGAGGAAATACCAACGGCATGTTTCATTATGTGAGTATAAGTGAAACACGTCAGTTCCGGTTATCAGGAAATATCAATATGTTGGATAAGTTTCATTCAGAACCAGTTTCAATGTTTATCTCTTTGATGAACACTCTAAACTTATCAGATCTGGATAATTTATATCTCGTTTGAACAGTCCAGATTTAAAATTTTTAATTAATTATTTTTAGATAAAAAAATTAACTATTTTTTTAATAGAATAATAGTTAAGAGATTATCTCTATTTTGGATTATATATATATTAAAATAATTATTTTGAATAAATAAAAATAAAAAAGAAATCAAATCTGAATTATCCAAATGAGATATAGATGATTCAGATCTAATGAATTTAGGATACTTATCAAAGTTATGAGTACTGGAATTGTTTCCATTTCATCATGCGTGTATAATTAAAACACGTCAGGTTCACGTTTTCTTTGCTTATTATGTTGGGTGTCAAAAAAAAAAAAAAAAGAGAGAATGGCCGGTGTCGGACTTACGTTTCCTTTCTTTGAGTGCGTCATAGGTTGAAGAGGCATTTGATCAAAAAGCAAAGTTCATGATAACAAGGCTATTTTCAGCCAGGGTCAACTAAATTTTTTTCAGAATAAAGTAGCATCAAACACCTTAATCTTATTTATCAGGTGTATTTAATGCTTTTATTTTTTTTGATGATGCAGTTTTACTCATAATCTTTTAATTTACTTATATTTGGCAATTGATTCAGGCTTTTTCACATGCTCGCTCTTTCATCTTAAGGTGGAAAGCTTATCGTTTTGTGGCAGCGGACGGCAACATAGATGAGAGTGATAAAGATGAGAAGCCGGACGCATATTCTTTACGCATGCTTGCTGTCAAAATTCAGCTTGGCCATGATAACAACTGGCTTCACTGATCTATTTTATTTTTTGTACCTCAGACCCAAATTATTTTGAATTAGAGACTATGATTTGTTATTACTAAGTGGGGACTCGTGTTTCTTACTATAAATGTTCTTCTATATAGACCATCAATTGATATTAGTCACTCAGTGGCTGCTATAGGTTGAAGATCTGACTTCAATAGGAAATCGGCCCATATACTGATATAAGATGGGTGAGTACGGGCACTGATATCAGCATAGCTGGCACCCGTAATAATATGATGTTCCTATCCCCAGCCTGGATTATTCAGAATTGTGTACAGCAAATTATCCTCCACGTATAATCCCTGCATCAGTCTTGTCGAATACTTCATGGCGGAAAATCACAGTGGGGTCCAAAGGCAGAGGGGGGAAGGTGACAGTGCAAGTGTGTGATTAATATTCTTGTCTCTAACACAAGGCTTCGCTGTTAAATCATGCAATGAAAAAAGTTCGAGAGTGGGAGTAAAAAGCTGATCATACAAACCAGACTGTAAAGATGGGCTGATCCGATGGACGCACGCATTGGGTAATGATAAACCTGATGAGGACTTTCAAAAGTTTGGGGGTCGCTCATTGGCATCCCTCTGGAGGATACGTGTGTGTGTGGTCATATGGCTACTTCTTTTGTGTCGATGAATAGGAGGCCCCTTCACAGTTCACAGCAGTGGTTTGGTTTTGATCACAGTTGTGTTTTAACAAGATGAGCATCACAGAATACAAGAGGGCCTCATCTAGAGGGGGTCCAACTATATATATGGGCTGTTGGATCTTAAAAGTGTTAGGCTGAGTCTGTGCTTGAGGAGCATCTGAGGCCCAATAATGATTCGAAATTGGAATTACGGCCATGGAGGTGCAGTGTGGGAAGATTTCATATTTTTCAAATCAGGGACAGGCATTAATAATGGTCCGAGTTTATAAGGGGGGTTGGATTCGCTGTCTGGGACTTACAGAGAGTTTCAATACTAGTAATTACTAAACTACAAGGCCATTAGCGGAAGATTGGATGATTAGAATATGTGGTCTCACGGCAGATTTCTTCCCCATGGTGGCGTTTGCGGCCTATATGTGGTTCGGTGCTTGGCAGCGCGTCAGCTTCTCTCTCAGGCAAAGCGATGAAGGTGGCATGTGGGACGTACAAGTTGATGTGTGTTCATGTATGGTTTGCTCTGTTTCAGAATCAGATATGTACAAACTTAGTACCCCCTCTCTGGCACAGGCCAAGGTATCACCCACTTCTTTCATTCCATGTCTTTTGTCTTTTACAAGCTAAATAAGAGCCAGATAACTAAATTTGATCATATTAAAAAAATTAATTATTTATAATAAAGATGTGTTTACTTTTCTAAACTATCCTATTTTGAATCATAATGTATTGGTGTGAATTACTTACAATCATTAAGATATTTTGAAGAAAAAAGATATAAATTTGGGAGATAAAATATATTAAAATCTTATATTTAAGATCAAATTCAATCTCTTAATCAGTTTTTATATTAAGGATAGAAGTAGTTTTTTATTTATTTTTAAACGTCCTTCTTTCCGTTTAAATGCTTTACCCCCCCCCCCCACACACACACACCCCAAATAGTACCGTTAGATTTTTTAGGCCAAATTATACTTGGTTGTCAACCAACGTCTGGGAACACGCATGTTGCTGGCCCTTGACCCCATTGTTACAACCTAGTTTTATATGTTGTTTTCTCTTCTCTATCTTTACGGGCATTCTGTCCTTAAAAACAATCATGCGTACTTCAGCATCAAATTTTGATACTATAATCTGGTGGATAACCGAAATCATCAGTCTCAAAATCTAATTTTAGCAACAAACAACAAGAAAATTCTCAAAATCTAAGACGTCAACATTATATCTTCCCCCATTGCCTCTTATTACCATACTGTACTCCCTAGTCCAGCTCGTTCGCCTCTTCCCCTCCTGAACGTTTCTTCAACTTCCTGGCTCTCCCTCCTTGTTAATTAGATTTTTATGTTTTGCTTGATTATATTATAGGGTGTGATTGAACTTTTTCTTGCGTTTGACATCTTAATTTAATTGTTGAACCAATGATGTATTCTTTTACACATCACACGTATATATTCAAGGCGACTTAATATGTTTTCAAAGAAAAAATCTGAATGAATATCGTAAACTAACGTATTAGCTTGTAGTTCAGCTATTTGGGATGCCTATCAGTGTAATGAAGCAGTGGAACATCTTTTCCTGTATTTTATTATATTTTCCTCCCACGGTTTTTAACTTAAAAGTCATTGAAAATTAAAGGCAGGAAATTAGGCAGACAGGAGAGGAAGAAATTAAAGGGGCTTCATCATCAATTATTCATTTACAAAGGAAAGAGCAACAATAATGAATGATAGAAGCTCATGGTCTCTATCTCACAATAATAATTAAGCCACCACACTGAAAGCTATGCATCATTTATTTATCTATACTCTCTCCTAATCCAACAACAAAATATTGTGTTGTTATATATACATTTTTTGCTTTCCTTTATATATAAATATATATATATATATATATAATGTCCAAATTTGACTCTCAGAACATGAACGGCGTCGGAGAAAACGCTGGCATCACCGTCGCAACAGCAACTCGCCTGCAATTATTCCAATCATTAATTACGTATTTCGTTATCAGGCCAAAAAAAAAATCCAGACATGAATTAGAAAAAATAAGACATACATAGAACTGCAGAGCTTTCCTTTCTTCTAAAGGGGAAGCACAAAGAAAGAAAGAAAGAAATCTGTAAAAGTGGTCCCTTAATTTTGGTTACTGATACATATCATTTTAGAATTCCCTTTTTCCAATCACACAAACAAATCCTCAGTATCTCTGGATCTTCACGATATTTATAGCAGCAAAAGTTTTCTGATCGAGCTGCACAAAGAGAGAAATTCCTACATATCTTGTTGCATGATTGCGACTATATATCAGTATGATGCATCATGAATTATGAATTTCTTGAATGGAAGTCAACTCAACTCAGCAAATGAGTGACCTCAAGCGAATGGAAGTCAACTCAACTCAGCAAATGAGTGACCTCATGCGAAAAGGAACGCACACCTAATCTTTGAAATAGGCACGTCTCATAAATTCTTCCCAAATACCAATTATAAATGCTTCCGTAAGGTTAATATTTCTGCGTTTTTTTTATCCTTTTTTTGTGTGTGTTGTTGCAGATGGGGAAAAATCAAACGCCTTGCCAACAAACCGATCACTATTACTATCACTAATTTAATTATAACGTGTTTCTTATAAGTTACTGACTAAAAAAAGAGGAGAGATTAATTACTTGTGATCGTCGCCGTAATTACGGTGGCGGGCCTTGGAAGCGGCACCAGAACCGTCGGCGTTCCTCCTCTTAACCTCCCTTTCCGGTTCCACCTTGCGGTTCCGCGCGTTGCTTCTCTCCCTCTGCTGCACCATATTGTCCTCCGAAATAGATCCCAGCGATGGCCTCCATTCCGTTGCGGCTGTTGCCGTTATCAACCTTCCGCGTTTCTTACGGTGGCGCGTCCCGGCAGACAGAGGCACTAACGACCCCTCATCCTCTGCGAAAGGCTGCGAGGAGGTTGCAGTCTGAGCTTCGGAACGTTGGGTGGGGTACCCACACCAGAAAACGAATTCTAAGAACCTCATCGGCCAAATTACGCAGTATATGCAACTATATCTAAATTGAATTATATTCTTTCGTTGAGAAAACTAAGAGGAGGAAAGAAGAGTCGCCGGAGATGGGATTTTCAAATTCCTCGGCGAGTTCCAACTTACAGAGTCAGAGAGTGATGTCATTGAAGAAGGGAGAGGAGCGCTTCATTCTCGTTGATGCGAGAAAACGAGGAAGTAGGGAAGGAAGAAGGAGGCAAGGAGATAGCCGTGTGTGTGAGTTTTCGACTGTTGCTATGGGACGCAGATATATAAGCGAGAAACGGAACGGACGTAACTCCCAGAAATTTGTCAGTATCTGGTGCCCATTCATTCATTTTATTACAAGTTTGCCCTTCCATGACTGAGCGGGTAGTGATTAGTGAAATAGTAATTGATCTGGTGGTGGGCCTAGTGGGCTCATGTGGCCCACTCCACGTGCTCGGTTTTATGAGGTTTGGTATTATCTTCTCCACTAAATAAATTCTTTCTTTCGCCCCCCAAAAAAAGGCATTAATTTCCTCCTTTCCTTCTTTCTCTTTGTGGTCAGTTTCATATTCTAACTTAATAATAATAATTGATTTTTTGAAAAATGGCAATATTATGACATGAAAAATCACATTCTGCCCATTGGGCACTAAAAATATCTTCGATATTGACGCTAGTTTAGTTTAATTAGCCGGAATTTGTAATTTATATATTTTCCGTACTCGTAAACTAAAATATATTATTTTCATCCGTATAATTGAGTTTTAAGATAATATTTTCGGAAATAATAAGTGAAAATGGCTAGTCTTCGAATTTTGTCCTGTGTGTTTATGCAACATACTTAGATTATCTTCGTATATTTGGTTAGATTGATCCTAATGACTCTCTCTAATATGACACACGTAAAGTTAAGATCATTGTTATCAACGTTAAACTAATTATCATGCCATCACCTACAACACTAAAAAAATTGATTAATTATGATTATTAGTACTAGTGTTATTATCTCTAGAGCTCTGGTCCCCCATACAAATATCAAGTTGAAAATACAAGTTAATGGAGGCCACTCGTTTATCTATAAGTGATTTTAACTTATTTGCTTCAATGGTTCTAAATTGACCTTTTCCTTTCCTTCTATTTTTATGTACATGGGTAGTTCTATATAGTCATATATAGGTAGGTGACATAATAATTTCTCCCGCCTAATAAGGGGATCAGTGAATAAATTTTTTTTATATAAGTTTATTATGGAGATCGTGCAATATGTGATTCTGTGTGTTCTTAAATTGTGTAATTAATAGAGAACTAAAATACTCATACGTCTTGAATTTCATTAGTCTATCCCTTTTCCGATAATTGGGGGGAACCCATGCGCAATTAAAATTAAATATAAACAAGAAGAGGAATTTAAAATGCAGGTAAGATACAAAAGAAGCAGCCTGATCGTATCGAGTATTTTATTGATGGCTGCTTTAGTTTCCGTTTAATTATGTTAGAGATATATTAATTATAAGTACAAGTGGGTTTTGAAGTAGTCAATTAGGTAGTTAAATAATACTAATGAAGGATAATTAATGGGGTGTGATTAGTGATGGGTTGATAGTGGAGTTTAGCTCCGATGAATTAGCCTTAATTTACACATATATATATTTTGTCTTCTTCACAAAAGGCACTTTAATTATCTATCCTTCAAAATGCCATTATTTCCTCATTATCTCATTCTGCTGGACACATTTGGACGGCAATCATAATGATCTCTTTGGAGATTCAATTTTATGTATTTATCAAAAGATTTTAGGGAGGTAACAGCAAATTAAATTAGCAATATTGATTACTGAATGACAATGTTTCATTCATTTATTTTGTTTTTGTTAAGGAGGGAGAGAGAAGAGAAAATGGAAGTCCACTGAATATAATCTTAAGACAAATCAAACACAACAAAAATAAAAGAAAAGTTTAATTAGAGAATATTTCAGCGACACTGATTTGTCCTCACAAACAAACAAATAAAAATAATTGGTGTGCCCTTCCTTTTATAGTGGTTGCCGATCAAGACATAGTTCTGCGAGGCATAACTACATATATATCGAAACATATTATCGCTAATTATAGCCGACATGGGACATAGAATATGCGTATAAATGTCTATACATTATAAGAGTTATTTTCTAAAAATAAGATCTTAATATACTTTATCTCTGAAATTTATAGTTTTTTTTTTCATTTGAAATCTAATCTATTTTTTGTAAGGGCTCCTATCAAAAGGTCTAATATAAATGATTAAAGATGATAGTTTTAAAAAATTAACACATATTTGTGACAGATAACTAGTTAATTAATTTTTTTAAATTTAAATTAATTATCTAATTCTTATATTATGACTAGTAGAAGTGGTATCTGAATAGGTATCCACCACGTAGCCATGTATATTCTTTAGGCAATGAATATCTCTTTCATAGAAGTGTGATTCCGTTTCCTGACTCAGATGTGAACATCTGGGGGACCCAGAGGCCAGAGACAAATATTAACAATATATAACTACTAACCGATTAATTGCACACTCAAATTAAAATCCATTTGCCACCACAATCTCCCTATAGCAACTTGCATCTTCTTCTTCTTTCTTCTCTGTCACTTTCCATATCTCGTTCCTTGCCTCTATCTGTCCAGAAGAAAAAGAGCCTAGAAGGTCCCATAAACTGTTGCAGAAAATTAAAAATTGTCTGGTTTGGAGAAAAAGTTAAAGCTGCTGAGAAACGAGAACGCACACCTGCACAGAAAACTAACAACAACAACAACAACCATATCATTGTCGAAATACGTTGACAAGCCACATAGACATGAAAATATCCAGTGTTTGGTTTCCTTCTGTGTCATAAATTTAGTTGAGGTTGCCTGAGAGACAGGGAATTGGTCTCGCACCATTTGTTCATTGGTGTGAAGGGAATTGAGGGTTTCATGGGGCATTCTTGAATAGAGGCCATGTGTGTAATAGGAGAATCAAGCATGTGTGTGTCTGTGAAAGTGCATTGAGTCGCTTTACATAATAGTGTGGGGAACTTCTCATTTAGACGTTTTGAGTCTCTCACAATTATATGGCTCCATCTCAAGGAATAGTCAGGAGCCACACCAGTCACATCAGAAAGCAACAATTATGTTGCATGCAATTAACTTTGTGACGTGGAGACGGATTCAATTCATTCAGCACAAAAAAGTCTCAGTTTGTTTTTTTATCTGTTTGTCCACTTTTCATTGGATCTTGTACTCCTGTGAGTCTTATCAACTAACACTTTATATACGCAATATTTGGGCTTCTTTCTCTACAGCATCATGACTGGTGAAGAGCGTGGATGTTCTGCTTTGAGTTTCAGTTTCTAGTTTTAGCTTATGTTAGTTTTATGGGTCAACTGATTTTAAAAGTCTTATATTTTTGTCTGGGTCTATTTATGTGGCTTCAAATTGTCAGGTTATTTGTATTGCTTCCTCTACATTAGACTTGTGTGATTTGTATTAGTTACCCTTTCTTGTAAAAGTCTAACATTTATTATGTATCCTTTTGGCTTTATTTGAATAAAATTGTCCCTTTACATATGCACATAGATACATATATTTGCCATTATTTCTCCTCTGCGAAAGCTAGGTGTTCAGGGAATCACCAGATGTCATGACTTAACAAGTAGTGACTTGGATTATCCTCTATTTTCCATAATTACACCAATTCATCATGACACTCGTGATCTTCCTATGAATGCTTTTTATACCATTAAGGGTATTAAAAAATTATCCATATTTAATTGTTTCAGTCGCACAAAATTGTTATTATTTTTTGCTCGATATGTTTTTCTTATGATGGGAATGAAATTAAAGCATGCTATGTGCCGACGCACTTCTTATAAAAAAAAATTAGAATATTTTATTGTTGCAAAAATCATTCTGGAATTTAGAATCAGGTTGAGCGTATTTATTTATTTTTTACTGGGATTAATGTAATATTGCAATTGGAGAGTTAATAACAAACATTAAGAAATGTTTTTGAAACGTATATTTTAAGTGTGAAGAAAATAAGTCTTATTTTTAAGACAAGATACTCCTCTGGTCCTTAATATAAAATCCATTTAATTAATTTGATTAGATTAATAAAGTTAGGTAAGTTAGTTAATTATAAGAAACGTGATATGTTTTTCTTAAAACATCATAATCATTTTTCTTAATACTCCGTTTCTTTCTTCTACTTAATTATAGTTGAGGAAGTATCCATAGGGGTAATTTAGAAAAAAAATTGATAAATATGAGAAATAAGTTCTATATTTAAGACCAAAACTAACTGAACAATTGGATCCTATATTAAGGACCGGAGGAGTATATCATAAATAACACAGTCAAATATGGGTTTGTTTGGGATCACGTTGAAAATCACTCATAAACATATTTCATGCCAGTTGAGCAAAACTCCTTTCATAAGTTTGTATTTTACAAATCATAATTGAAAAGCTACTTATAAGCTATTTTAAATAAACCCTATCTCATCTAACAATACTCCTAGTCTTTCATGAGTTCGTTTGAGCTTGATTTATGAAGTGAAAAAAATTGGTTATGAAAATTGGATTGACTATTTTTTAGCGTAAATAATAAAAGTGATAAAAAAACTAAAAAATGAAAATAAAAATGAGCCAATGTAAACATGGGCTAAAAGAAAGGGTGGGCTAAAAGAGAGAAAAGGGCAAAAACGAAAAGGTCTAAAAGCCCAACTTTTTGGGCTCATTTTTTTTTGCCAACGTTTTGGGCTGGTTTAAAGGATTGTGCGGGTTGCGTGTGAAAGTAAGGTAAGAGTAGGTGGCCCAAAAGATAGTGAAGTTCAATCAATGACCATCATAAAAACTTCCAAGCATTGTGCCGCTTTCATGCATCGCCACACGTGGCCTTCACTTTGGACAAAACATACCAATTAAAATATATATATGTATATTCAATCAATAATTTGTTCCTAGATTAATTAATGATATTTTTTTAATATAAAACATATATCGGCAAAGTAACATAATAAAATATAAAAAAAATTAATAACACTTTAATTTTTTTCTTAGCTTTATTGATGACGAGCCCTTTACGCCCAATTCTTAGGCAGGTCGAAAAGATACATAAACATACTATTCCGAAAAAAGAGTTAAACAAACCATTTCTGAAGCCGTAGCACTTTTTGTTTTGAATAAGTATATGATATCATACAAACTGTAAAAAGTCGGAACTGTACTTTCAATGTTACTTTGAACAAAGAGAACCGTAATATTTTAGCTTCCAATCCTCTTGTTTAGTATCCTCTTATTAGCGTACTAATGTCATTTATTAGCGTACCAATGAATAATGACGTGGCGTGTTCGTTTTAGCTTTCCAAGCCTTCTTAGACAACAAATTCGCAAAGGACAGCTTTTTCATTGTGAAAAATCAATATACCTCTTTATAAGCTAAGCACCGACAAGATTTTTGACTCTTCAGTTGCATAGTGTTATCAATTTTTAAATTTCCTTGTAGTGTATTAATAGGGAGCTATTTATATTCAAAGCATTATATTCTACGCGGATATAAGAGTACAGGTAAATAGAATATCATATCATTTTTGGTTCTTAAAATTTGATCTCAGTTTTATTTTGATCCTTAAAATTTGATACCAGCAGTTTTGGTTACTCTGAAAATTTTTTGCTCCCAAAACAATGCTTTTTTTTGGGCCAAATAAAACAATGTTTTTGACACCCGAAGATTTCAGTAACCAAAACAATAGTTTCAAGGATCAAAATATAAATGAGATAATTTTTAGGGAGTAAAGATTAAAACTTTTAAGAAAACATAAATTTTAGGATCAAAGTGCAAATAGTTGTTTGGAAGGCATCCGATGTTTGTAATCTGGACATGCATGCTGACATGTAGGCGTGATCTGTTTTAACTAAAAAACAATAAAAGAAATAGTTTTGTTTAATTGTGGTAACTTGCAAGCTGCAGAGCTGATATAAGAAATGCTGACACATAAGAATCCAAAATATTATCCAAATTCCGGACTCAGCACTTTGCTTTTGCGGGATGGTTTGAACTTTCAGTCCGAATACTTCGGTGTTTGGACAAACTTTGGTAGGTGGCTTGAGTTTATCAGAATTGTTTTGCCAACCAAACACACATTGCCATTTCTTATTCTTATCTCCAACAAATTTATTTATTCCAAAACAAATTCTTTCTTTCTTTCTTGCTAGCCTCCTTAATGATCACATCCCTTTCAATTCCTTTTCTTTTACTTATTTCACTTGTTCTCTGCGGCTTATACAATTAAAGTACTCCATGTTGAACTCATACTCCACAGCCTTGTTGGTTTTATGATCAGAGTTTTTTTTACCCCCTCATTTTTTAATTATTGTTAATCATGTTTTGCGTTTGATAGGATCTGAGAATCTAATTGAAAAGGGTATGTAAATGTAATTTATTATTTGATGAATGATTAATCAATATTCAATAATTCATAGCCCTCAGTTTGAGTGTCTTTTCCTCAAAAGAAAACAGACGCCCCAAGAAAACAGAGAAATTCAGAATAGGAAGGTTCCACCTCTCTTATGTGTCACTTGAGAAAGGCAGACAAGAGATGTCTCTTCCCCGCAACTAGAACCTACAATTGATGTAGATAGCGCCATTTCCTGATGTTTAAGTTTCCCATATAGCTTTTTCGTCTCTCTTCACACCTACACACACTTCCCCACCATGTTTTCTGCAACAAGAAAGCAGGAAAAAAGAAATAAAAGAAAATATCTCTTTCTTGTCAAATGTGCCATCCCAATTCCTCCATGATCCTCTGTTTTCCTCTGCCACTATGGGGTTTCCTCTGTTTCTGGTAGTACTGCAAATTCCTATATGAACAAAATATAGGGTTAGCCCGCATCAATTGTCAGTTTCTTAGTAAGCTCATGGTTGCTTCTGGTTTTGTCTATTTCTTCTTCAGCCTTAACCTTTACAACGAAGTTAGCCGAGCATGCCAACCGTGTATATATTCCAAGTTGTACAGCCTGAAACCACAGAGAAGTAGCAAGTAGTATAGCTTTTCAACCTCAAGCACCATGAGGATTTGTATTGCTTTCCTTCTCATAATTCAGTTCTTTGCAAAGGCAGAATCAATTAGCAGAGGAGATTTTCCAGACGGGTTTATCTTTGGAACTGCTTCTTCAGCTTACCAGGTAATTTAGAATCTTACTTTTCCTTGCAATGTTCAATCCAGATAATGAAATAGTATTCATCACTTGGGAATGCTGTGCTGCATAGTTTGAAGGAGCTGTTAACGAAGGAAATAGAGGAGATAGCATATGGGATACTTTCACCAGGCTTCCTGGTAAGATCAAAGGGCAAACCAAAATATATCATCAAAATCAATACATTCAATAAATATTGATCTCTGCAGAGAAGTTTCTGATTTCCAGTTTTGCATTCTGATAGGGAGAATTTTGGACTTCAGTAATGCAGACATGACCGTGGATCAGTATCACCGATTTAAGGTAAAAAGAAGGATACTCTGGGACTTCAATTTAGATTACTTGCCCAACTTTTCTTTTTCTGTCTCAATTAAATTTCAAGTGGCCCATTCAAGGAGAGCATGCTCATATGAATGGGAAAAGAAAGTATAAACAATTTAGGGTGAGATGACTCGCCAATTATAAAATGAGAGAATATTGAAATGATGACGCCGACATGTCACCCGCTTTAAGCAATAGACAATCAGACTGTAAAGAAAACAAATGCCAAGAAGTTTCTCACGGTGAAAAGAGTTTTTAAACTTATATGCTGATGTGACATTACTCAAGTTTTTGTTTTTTCGTTCTTTGTTTCTTCCCATTTTACTTGACCTTTGTGATTAAAATATTTAACGTCAACTGAAGCATTAATAATATTCCACTTTACGCAGAATGACATAGAATTGATGAAAGATATGGGGATGGATTTTTACAGATTTTCCATATCATGGTCAAGAATTTTTCCAAGTAAGTTGTAAACCTTTCAAAAAGCTGTTTTTTTTCTTTCCATACAATAAAATCCATGTTAGCGGCTAACTGCGTATGTAATAATCGTGAACAGATGGAACAGGGGAACCTTGTGCTGAAGGAATAAAGTATTACAACTGTCTCATAGATGCTTTACTGGAAAAAGGTTACAAAGATTTTCTCTAGGAATCTTTCTTTTACAAACAGCACAAAATAGCATTAAAAGTTTAGTTCTTCTCTTCAATCAGGAATCCAGCCTTTTGTAACCCTATATCATTGGGATCTTCCACAGATGCTAGAAGATCAGCATGAAGGATGGCTAAGCACACAAGTCATGTAAGTTCAAAAGCAATGACGTGTTATGGATCTTCCTGAGATAAAGTGGTGACCTTTGTATTAATTCACTTGCAGAAAAGACTTCGAGCACTATGCCCATACGTGCTTCAAAACTTTTGGAGATAGAGTAAAGTACTGGGTCACCTTCAATGAACCACATAACTTCGCCCTCCATGGTTACGATTTAGGCATTCAAGCCCCTGGAAGATGTTCCATTCTGGGTCATTTTTTATGTAGAAAGGGAAAATCATCCACTGAACCATACATCGTAGCTCACCACATTCTCTTATCTCATGCTGCTGCATACCGCACTTATCGACAACATTTCAAGGTCCTAAACAAGTCATCTCTATTCCTGAAACATACACAGTTCAATTATTCAATCCTTGATTCGTACTTCTGCAAGTCACAAGTTCTCTATTAGTGAAGAAAACAGCGCCAATTTACGTACTCCAAGAACTAACACGTTCGGCATTTTAATTCTGGTATTGATGTTAATAATCAGGAAAGACAAGGGGGTCAAATAGGGATAGCTCTAGATGCTGTATGGTACGAACCCATAACTGATCTTGACGAGGACAAAGATGCAGCAGCCAGAGCTATGGATTTTTCGGTTGGATGGTAATTCTTTTGGCGACTAAGATGATATATTATAAATATAGCTTATTTGCATTTACGGAAACCTGAACATTCCTTTTCCATAATAGGTTCCTTGACCCTCTTTTTTTTGGGAAATATCCTCTTTCAATGGAACAACTTGTAGCTGAAAGATTACCAGAGATCTCAGATGCAACCTCCAAAATGCTTGTGGGATCCTTGGATTTTGTTGGCATAAATCATTACACCTCACTTTATACTCGTAACGACAGGACTAGGATTCGGAAACTAGTTTTGCAGGATGCTTCATCTGATGCTGCTGTCATTACTACCCGTAAGCCTTCAATGGAAATTATGACCCTTTTCTCCCTTCTTCCATTTTCTTCTTCTATGTCTCATTCATTGTCCTACTTTGTAGCATACAGAAAAGGGGCTGTAATTGGAGAAAGGGTACGATTAAGAAACTCTATTAGGCTTAAACTTCGTGTATAGACTTTGTTCTGAAGCAACTCTTCTTACTTCTCCAGGCAGCTTCACGCTGGCTTCACATTGTCCCATGGGGAATCCGAAAAACGGTGAATCATGTGAAGAACAAGTATGGGAATCCCCCAATGATTATAACAGAAAATGGTGAGGGAGGAGTTTTCTGATCATAAGCTAATCAAAATAATTCACAAAAGTGTTCACGTTGTTTAGATTTACTATGGCAGGAATGGATGACCCAACCGGCCCTTTCATAACCTCAGAAAAGGCTCTGCAGGATGATAAGAGGATAAGATTCCATAGGGACTATCTCTCAAACCTCTCTGCCGCTATAAGGTATTAAAAAACCAGGTCCCTTAAATTCAGTATAACATGGGTTTTCAGTTATTGCAATTGAACAGAATTAAAGTAATACATGTCTAACACAGGGAAGACGGTTGCGATGTTCGAGGTTACTTTGTGTGGTCGTTGCTTGACAACTGGGAGTGGAATATGGGCTATACTGTTCGGTTTGGACTCTACTATGTGGATTTTAAGAATAACCTTACGAGGATTCCCAAAGCTTCTGTACAATGGTTCAAAAAGATGCTCACATTAAAAACAGATATGTGGAGCGACATTTGATTTGGTTTTGTTTTCTTTCTCTTGTAAAGAATACAATACACAGAGTCACCCACAATGTAATTGTACAGTGCTTCAAAAATTAATGAAACAAAAGCAACAAGGGAATGAAATATCCACGAACATGTTAAAAATGGTGACAACTTGTCTCTCTCTGCTTCGTCCCCTTCCCCTGCCCTCGAATCAAAATTAAGATGAAGCAAATGTGATTGAGACTAGAATTGCTTGGTCTATACTCCATATAACCAAACAAAAGTGCGAAGAAAAAGATTGGCGGCAAAATCTGACAGAAGATCGAAAAGTAACAAGAGGGGGGGGGGGAGTAAAGCAGTCCATCTTTCAATCCTACTAAGTTAATACTTAATATAAAAGATTTGATTCTAAATATAACATCAATTTATTTTGTTTTTTATATTTATTTACTTCTTCGATCCTAAATATAAAACCCTTTTTATAGTATAATTTATAATTTTACATAAAGAGATTTTATATTTAAAGCTGGAGGGAGTATTTTTTTTTATAAAAAATAACCTTTTTGGTAGTTGCATATGTTAAATTATCTATCAAATTGTAACTGTAACTAATATATATGATTATCAATTATATTTTAAAAAAGATGACATCTATTTATAACAAATAACTAATTTAACAAACTTTCTTAATCTACTTAAGTTAGTTTATTAACTTTTGTATTAGGTACCAGAAGCAGTATATATTGAAAGAGAAATGAAAAACAAATGCCACATTTTTGCTGCTCAGTTTCATTTTAATCCATTATGCCATTACGTTGGAAAGCACCCAACAGTATACAGAGGCCAAAAATAATATTTGAACTTTGGTGTTAAATTTGAGATGATCTTAACCATTAAAATAGTCATTCTTTGTTGGCAACCAAAAAAATAAAGTCATTCCTTAACTTATTTATTCTCTTTAGTGTTTGAACCCTTGAATTGAGAGGAGTTTCGGCTAGGTTGAAAGACAATTTTTTGTATATTCTTTCAGCTGTAAACCTTTTTTCTTTTGTTTTTCATGTGAACAAGAATAATATTAAAATTTCGCCTTGTAAGGGATTAATGTATAAATCCTCGTTTATGACTTGCGAGAACAGAAGTGCATGAATTTATTTTATTTTATTGAGTAATAAAAACAACAATAAGAACAGAGAATAATTAGCGTCGTTTTTAATATCAAGGATTTTCGCCCTTCCTCCCGTGCCTAGAGTGAAATTATTGGAGATAACCACAAATGAAATCAGGGGCAGGTGTTTCTGGGGGCGATGTTCTACTGTGACTGGGGATTGTTGCTCGTTGGTCCTTTGAGCTACGAAAGCTGATACAAGCACATATACAATCACATAGTTGTTCTCTGATTCTTTTGGAGAAAGATGCCTGTTTCAGATGTTACGCAGACCACCATTCTTCGCTGTTCTCCACCTATCACTCTTTGCTAGATGCCCTTCTCGCTTCCAGCTGCACAGCAAGCATAAGATCTCCGGGAGACAGCAATTTATGTTCCCCTCCGCGCTTTATTCAACTTGAATGTTGATTATTTCCGCCTGATCGAACTCGACGACAAAAATATCAAAACGGCCTGTCTTTGTTAAGATCCCAAAATTAACGGTTTTTATTTCTTAAAGCATCGAGGTAGAGTTGTGCTGACTTTCTGATTGTTCCCCATGAAACGTGGATACCAGGAATCTCCTTCAACCTCTTTCGGGCCACCTCAATCCAAAACTAGATATAACCCAGAAGGTGACTTTATGCTGGTGCCCTTTCTTCGATTTGTTTTGCCGTATAGTTGTTCACAGTTATAAGGGGTAATTTGGTGTTTCATGGATCTGGGGGATGTGGTTAAAGTTTTAGGCTTGGTATGGTTCCTGATAAACGCATGAGGAGCCAGTGGGGAAATCTTCTCTGCAATTCTGAATGAAAAAAAGAATGAGAATGAGAGTTCTCCTTAACTTTGTTAACACAAGGTTATGCTGAATAGAGTTCACCTTAACGTAATTAATCAATTGTGGGAAGGGTTTGACAAAAAAAGCGTAGGCTTTATACTTCCCCACCGTGTAATGAAGAACCACAATGGCAAACTTGTGTATTCCCGTTCCATTCGTTGCTTTTGTTGTAGAAAGCTCTGAAGGTTCTGGCTAGTGTGCTTATTTGCATTTAGTGAATTGTGTTTAGGTGACTCACATTTTCTGGAGGATGAGAGCACGAAGATATTTGCTCGGAAAGTGGCTGATCATTATAGTGCAAGAACTAACCAGACCCTGGAAGAGCGGGAGGCTAGTCCAATTATTCATTTAAAGAAACTCAACAATTGGGTATGCCTTATGTTTTGTAACGCATAAATTCTTTTGAGCAGAATATTACATCATTGTTGGTTGATTAATTGTTGTGTGTATGCTTTATTGAACAGATTAAAAGTGTCTTAATTCAGCTTTATGCACGTCGAGGAGATGCAGTCCTTGACCTCGCCTGTGGCAAGGTGCTAATGGATTATAGTCCATGTTCAATATAGAAAAAGCTTCTCTCCTTCCTTAGCTAAGCCTCTTTATGTAATTCATTTGTTTTCTTAGGGTGGCGATCTTATTAAATGGGACAAGGCCAAAGTTGGATATTACGTTGGTATTGACATTGCTGAAGGCTCGGTGAGTGAATTGTCAACTTATTAGTCTTATCTGAATTCTGAAATCGTGGTAAATATGCTCATCAAATTGTGATGAGGTGAAGTTGGAGGGTTTGAACAAATTATTCATATCTCCTGGCAACTTCTATTTCTATATCATATATAACTCTCGTGGATTATTTCATGCACAAAACTCCTCTTCTGTCTATCTCTTGCAGTTTAACTTCCCCCACCCTACCCCCCCCCCCAAAAAAAAAAAAATTACAGAATTCTGTTTTTGGCTGTTATGTGCTTAGGGTATGACCTTGAAGCAGGTGTTCTCCATGAATAAATTAATTGTTTATTCCTTGTACACTTCAAGCTATACTAATTTTGATTTCAAATTATTCATAAACGTACACTTAATGGCGGTAAATTTTTTCATTGAAACTTTGTATTTTCCCTCATTCCAGGTGATGAATTTCTTATATGTTATACCTCAAGTCCTTGCTATTAGATGGTGAAAGATTACATGCCTTGTTGTGTCAAAATATTTGCAATTGTTATATGTTTGTCATCATCAGCAGCAGCTCACTGATTCCAACAATCTTCCAGATTGAAGATTGTCGAACACGGTACAATGGTGATGCTGACCACCATCAGCGACGTAAAAAGTTCACATTTCCTGCTCGCCTCTTTTGTGGAGATTGTTATGAGGTGACTAAACCTGCAATGTTGATCTCATGAGGATACTTTCTGTTCTCTTGTTGCTTGATGAACATTGAGAATGTAGAGTGTATTAAAATTTTACTGAAGATACTTGAAAGAAGGAAGACAAAGAGAAATAATATAAATAATAAATTTATAATCAAGGCTCAAGGAAACAGTTAAAATCAGACTATGACTATTTTTTTTTTTCTCCCTCATATGAGCATCAAGAGAATAAATTTGTAGGGAGAAATAAAAGTTGAACCTGAAAGGATAAGAGGTTACACTTCTAACCAGAAAGAACTGAGTGCATTGTTTTGGCAAAAACGGTGGTTGGTTAGCCAGAAAGATGAGAAAGGAGAGGCTGCCATGTGAGATTATGATTGCAGCCACTGCAGCTACTTTAGTAGTATTATAACTTCTATAAATTGATTCTTAAATCCCTTGTGTTGTCCAAATGACTTTATCTGTGGTTGAATAGTTTGATAACATATAGGTCATTGATGTTGATATAATAAGCTAACCCAAAATTTGCCTTCTTCCATGAAAACTTTCCTCCCCTTCTTTTATTAGCAATTTCTGTATTCTATTTTTCAGATAATGCAACTTTGTTCTCTTATTCATGACAATTGTTGATCATCAGGTTCGCTTGGATAAGGTTCTTGCAGAAGATGCGCCCTTTGATATTTGTAGTTGTCAGGTGAATTAATCACTTAAGCTAATTACTGCAAGGGATCTTTGAATCCCACCAAAAAAAGAGAAGAATTGGCTTTTACTACTACAATAAAGTACAATATCCTTCATCTTTAAAATCACCCTTGCACAGCAATCAGCTTGTTTTTGGATAAATCGTTGGTTCATGTATTATTGTTAATAACAATGGTGTTCTCCTTTAAATACACTCAATTTTGGTTTTTTGGGTGTCTAACTCTACTATTTTTTATTATCTTAACAGTTAGTTTTTGATAAAGCCCAATGGCATTATGTGATATATGTAGCTGCCTCACCATGCGATAAGGCTTATGGCTGTTGCCTTAATAGAAAAAATTTAGAAAACATATCACTATCATTTACGATAAGGCTGTATATTCTTAATAATTGCCATTTCCCCCTGCCAAGTGTTACTACTTTTTTATCCCATGTCATGCAAATTTCATTTACGGGCTACTTTCAATTTTGAAGGTGTATCTTCATTTCTAATCCGTCAAACCTTTTGAATTCTGCAGTTTGCGTTGCATTACTCTTGGTCTACAGAAGCTCGTGCTCGGCGAGCCTTGGCTAATGTGTCAGCATTACTTCGTCCTGGAGGCATTTTTATTGGAACAATGCCTGATGCAAATGTCCTTGTTAAAAAGCTGAGAGAAGGTTTTGGATGTACCTGCAATGTTTACAAAAATTAAGAAAATGACTGAATTTGATGTTTTGTGATTTAGTATTATTTTGTTCGTCAAACTTAAGACATAAGCATATGCAAGGATCTGATCTCTGTTTGCAATCTATCTCTAGTTTACTAAAAGACGAATTTTGATTAGCTAAACCACGCATTCAAGTGTGATGAGTTTGATGAAACTATTGCATGCTGGATGTATCTAAATGAGAAGAAATAATCTATACTACTAATGGTGCTTTTGCTGTCTTTCCATGATTTCTCGTTCTGAAGTGAATCCTCAGGTATAGTCTTCAGTGTTCACTGTGTGTGAAGGCTGTATGACGGTATACTCAAATTGTCACGAACTGTTCTTGTTCCCAGTAGATATGATTACTCATTGTTCTCCTTGAACAGAATAATGACATGTTGGTCCTTCTGGTACATTAGCATAATGTCATTGCTTTTGCAATTCTTGAACTTGATTGGAGATGCTGTTTTCATTTTATTAAATATGCAGCTGAAGAGTTGTCTTTTGGAAATAGCGTCTACTGGGTGCATTTTGATGAAGAATTTTCTGACAAGGTGAACCTGTTCTCCTCATGTTTACATCTTCCTAATTATGTTTTTTGGGTGGAAATTCATTATCTTACTAATGAATTTCATGCAATTTATAGAACAGTATCTTAACCTGATATTCTCTTCGTTATCCAGAAATTTAAATCTTCCAGCCCCTTTGGCATAAAGTACAAGTTCCATCTAGAGGTATTGTTCCAGTAGTTGTTGACTTGTTTCCAGGAAAAGAAGCTTGTTAGTATTTTAACATCAGACTATTTGTTAGGTCATAGATGTGGCTCAGGAATGCTATTTACACTTCTGTCGCTTACCATGCCACTTCTGTTGCAGGATGCTGTTGATTGTCCTGAATGGATTGTCCCCTTCCATGTATTTAAGACATTGGCTGAAGAGGTATCACATATTTCAAAAGAGTCAGTTAACTCATTCTTTATATTTCCCTCCAAGCAATAGATAAGGCAAGGTTGACATTATCCTTCACACTTTACAGTACGATTTTGAGCTTGTCTTTGCAAAGAACTCCCATGAGTTCGTGCATGAGTACATGAAAAAACCAGAATTTATTGAGCTCATGCGAAGACTTGGTGCCTTGGGTGATGGCAACCAAGATCAGAGTAAGTCTTCCTTGGCCTTTTGCTCATGCATTTAGTTTTCTCAGTCCCATGAGCCATGATCACTCGTTGAAGCTGAACATCCATTCTCAGTACTTTCATCTTTGTTAACATGCTGCTGCTTATAACACGAAATGCCATATTCCTCTTCTATTTTCAGGCACACTCTCGCCAGATGAATGGGAAGTAGCTTACTTATACTTGGCGTTTGTGTTGAAGAAGGTAAGTGCCATGTTTAAACAAGTACCAACAGTCACCCGGTTCCAGAAATTTCTCTTTAAAATTGTTCAATTTTTTTTTTTTTAATTTCCTTCCCATGATATTCCAGCGAGGCCAACCGGACCGATCACAAGCCAGTGGCAGAAGAGACAGAGGTTTGATGCATATATCAAAGGAAGACATCATGTATATTAGCAATGATTAACATGAATAAAACAGCCGGTGGCTAGATTTCCCAAGTTGATGATCAAACAAGGCGTGTTGCGGCGGAGGAAAAAGAACTTCTGCTCACGTAATTTTAGCATTGCATGATACGCAGAATTTTGTACTTCTAGGTTCGCAATAATTTGCTGAGAAATATTTTTTGCTTTAGTATTTATTTTGTACTCCCTTCTGGATAACGAACCTATACAAATCCACCTACTTATGACCTGGCCAAAACTCATTACTTGACATGAGTCCACAAATTTCATATTCAACACCTTGTGCTCGTCTGTAAATGCCCTTTCTGTTTTCCTAAGAAGAAATAAATATATTTACAGATTATTTGTTCAATATAGAACTTGTAAATGCACTTAGGCAAGAGGAAAAACAGAAGAAAGAAATAGATATCAGAGTTTATTAGAAGGCTCCGCGAATTAATGATGGCAAGAGTTTAAGCCCGCTTGAGCGGGGCCACCATAATCACAGTATTATCAATCCCATAGGACTTCCTCCCATGGCAAAATGATCCATGAAGTTTGTTCTCGTGCTTCCATTAGCACCAGACGACGCTTTCTCCGCTTCAGATAACCCAAAAAAGTTAAACTATGCCGACTCACTGCTTACCATTTCAGCCACTGTTACCTTAAAATTCTGCATTATCTCCATGAAATCCACAAACCCACCTCCTTGGCTGTCCTTTTCGTTGGAGGGGTGTACCTTCTCCAAAATTTCAGGAGATTCCCCTGGTTCAACCCCAGCAACTGCAGAACAATTAGTATAGATATGAAATCCACAGTGCAAGAGCCTTATAGAAGAGGAATTAAAATGTGACATGAAATACCTGTTCGGTGAGATTTGAGGAAGTCCTTCAACGAGGGGTTTTGCATGATTGCATTCCATACGTTCGGATCAGAAGCAACAGACGCTAAAATGGTCTGGTTGAGCTAAAGATAAGTGAATAACAGGACTTGGCCATAAATTTATGATGCATTTCATTCATTATTATCCCACCTTCCATGGTATTATAAGCATTTTTTTTAAATAAGCTAATTAAGCACTGCATAAAGAGAACTCCAATGGATTAGATAACTCACGTACCCAGGCCTCAGAGTTTGTGCTCAGAAATTTGAAGGCCTGAAGGGTATGCTTCGGCATTGAAATAGCCTCGATCACACAAGATTTGGTCACCATCCCAGAGAGAAGAGGGGACTGAACCCAATAGAACAACTGCACACAGAAGAATCAGCGGACAAGTATACCTTGAGAATTGGTAAATAAGATATGGTCTAAGCATGAAGAGAAGTAGCATAAGATAGAAGATAAATCATATTTATGATGCATAGAAACACATGATCTCTCCACCAGCATTAGTTTCAGAATAAGTTTCACTAGTTTTAATGTTTTATAAAAACATGAATGTTTAAACTTAAAGTGAAATATATAATTTTTTTTTAAGAAAATAAGAACACATTTATAAGAAGAATAATGAACTTAAAAAACACTTGAAAATAAATACTGCTCTGATCCTTAATATAAGACCCATTTAACTAATTTGATTAGATTAAGGAAGTTAGGTAAGTTAGTTAATTATAAGAAATGTGACATTTTTTTTTCTAAAACACCATAATCATCTTTCTTAATACTCATTCTCCCTCTTCTATTTAATTATAGTTGGGGGAGTATCTATAGGAGTAATTTAGAGAAAATTGATAAATATGAGAAATGTGTCTTATATTTGGGACTAAAACCAATTCAACAATCGGGTCCTATATTAAGGACCGGAGGAGTAGTAATTATTAACAGCTAGTATAATTTTTAAATTTCAAATTTTATAATTATTACTAGTAATTACTATATTATATAGAGATATCAATATAAATATTTTAATCTTTTTCAGCGATGTAAATAGTTTGATTGAAGTGAACTAGTTGGCAAAAAAAAAAAAGAAGTTAGTAATAGTATGAACTAAATTGAATGGTTTCAAAAATGAATTAAAGTTAGTGGGAATTAATAATTACAAGGTCTTAATAAAAAAATTTAATTATAAAAAAAATCTCAATGAGAAGCGATCAATTTAAATGTGTGGTCATTTTTTATACTTTTTTAATTAAATTATTATTTTTATACTATAATTTATTATTACAAACTTTTCAGTTTTTAACCAATTTTTAGATAATTAAATATGTTGTTTGGAAATAATTCCCCTTTAAAGTTATCCGCGGTAAAGGGCGCGTCGTTCGATGGGAAAGCATGAGGGTGCCACGTGTGCGTGATGTCCAAAGTCGGGGATCAATAACTAGGGAGAATGAAAACCAAATCTTACAGAAGAGAAATAATTATTGAAAGGTCCTAATAACAATCTCAACAGCCTATAATGACAAGTTTTATAGTGAGAATGACAACATCTGAGATTTGTTTTTTAATTGTTTTTCTGGTTTAAAACCTCATTATAATTCTCCTATAATACTAGTAATCAAATTACTAATGCGTCTTGCTCATGGGAGGGATTTAAAATTGGGAGTCTCGAGAATATTCCGATGTGGGTTCCATCATCCAATTTCGTCCTTACTTACGTGCGAAGCAAACCCGCGTTCTTCCATTATCTTACATCCATCGCTCTTTTACCATATCAGTCTTTTATTTATCAAATTGATATTTATCCAACTTTTATATTTATCTATATGGGTGATTCAATATACAATGTATCCATTCTTTGGTTGTTGGGAAAATTTTGCCTTTTTTGTAAGGGTTGTTGGTTCGAAGAATGACTTTCTAATTGGTTACTCCCTAATATTTATAGTTTGTTTGGATTGACTTATAAATAGTTTTTCAGATGTGATTTGCGAAATACGATGCATATATGTGAGAAGAGTTTTATCTCGACTTATGTGACATTACTTAAAAATCTATTTTGGACAGAGCTTCAAACAAGCCCTTACTCTCATTTTGATTTAGCCCTTAAAATTTGAAACAGTGGTCGTGATCTTTAGAATTTTTTTTTTTATACTTATTTCAAGACCAAAATACTGTTTCAACTTTCAAGGATAAAAATTTTTTAGGCGGATCAAAATAAAGTTAAATTTTAAAAATCAAATTAATTGATTTCAAATTTCAGAAATCAAAATCAAAATGATGGCAAATTTCAAGAGCCAAAACTACTAGTTTTTAATATTAGAGATCAAGATCAAAACAATGTCAAATTTGAATGACTAAAAATGGGATTTGCCCTTTCAATTATATATCAAGTATAATATTATTTCATGTACTTTCTTGGAAAGTTTTAATTTCTTCCAAAGGCGTGTGTGAGCGAAACAAAAGATTAATCTAATTATCAAAATTTTGGAAGTTTGGTGTTCCCACCATATCTAACATTGCAATTTGCATGATATGTATTGCAGATCCTGAGAGGTTCAGGGTTATGAGCGAGACAACATTTGGAAGAGGGCATATGAATATGTGGACTTGTTCTCCCATTCACCATGCAAAGAAATCCCACGAGTTCGTGAGAATTTATTGAGCTCATGCGAAGACTTGGTGCCATGGGTGATGGCAATCAAGATCAGAGTAAGTCTTTCTTCCCCTGTATCCTCTTCTGGACAACAAACTTGTACAAATCCACCATGGTTTTCCTTTCAGCTACAATTTACAGTGATATTGGAGAATGGAGAACACTAAATGAATGAATCTCCCGGACACGACGGATGTGAACCGTTCCATGTGGTGGGGAAAAGAGAGAGGAAAAGATCAATCCATCTTTAGTTTCTGGCACTCGCCTTTTGTTTGTATTAAACTAGAACATCTTTCATGAATATAACCGGGTCTTAACTAACGGAAATAACATGCGCAGGAGCTTGTTAGACAACATGATATCATCACAACTTAGACGATAAGGGTCTGGTTAAAACTCATTCCTTGACATAAGTTACAAGTTTCACATTCAACACCTTGTGCTGCTCTGTAAACGCCCTTCTGTTTTCCTCAGGATAAATAAATACATTTACAGATTATTTGTGAATATAAAACTTGAAAATGCACGTGCGCAAAAGGAAAAACAGGCAAGAAAGAAAGATATCAGAGTTTATTAGAAGGGTCGGCCATAGTAAGAGTTTACACCCGCTTGAACAGGACCAACATATCACCAGCATTACCAACCTCAGAATTATCTCCGCTTCTGATGACCCAAACAATTTGTTGAAGTATTTTGACCCAAACTTGAACTTTGTTTCCGTGTTTCCATTTGCACCAGACGACGTATTCTCTGCTTCTGATGACCCAAACAAGTTGTTAAAGTACTTTGACCCAAACATGAAGTTTGCTCTCGTGTTTCCATTAGCACTGGACGACGTGTTCTCCGCTTCTGATGACCCAAACAAGCGGTTAGTAAGTACTTTGACACATTGCTTACCTTTCCAGTCGCTGCCCCCATAAAATTCTGCATTCTCTCCTTCATGGAAGCCACAAAACCCATTCGTTTGTTGTCTTTTTGGTCAGAGTGGTGTAACTTCTCCAAAGTTTCAGGAGATTCCTCTGATTCAATCCTAGCAGCTGCAGAACAATTTTTATCAACATGAGATCCACAGTGCTAGACCTTGTAGAAGAGGAATTAATGTGCGACATGAAAGAGAGCATGACCGGTAAATTATTAAATACCTGGTTGGTGAGATTGGAGGCAGTCCTTCAGCAAAGGATCTTGCATGATGGCGTCCAATACTTTCGGATTAGAAGCAAGAGACGCTATAATGTCCTGGTTCAGCCAAAGATAAGTGAATAGCAGGACTTGACCATAAATTTATAAGGCGTTTCATTCATTATTATCCCACTTTGCATGGTATTTTATGGTTTTAAGCACTGCACAAAGAGATCTCCATTTTGTTGAAAAACTTATGAATTACCAGGGCCTTCTGATTTGTGCTCAGAAGTTCACAGGCCTGACGGACTAGATGCTTCGGCATCAAAGGATTTGAAATAGCCTCGATCAGCCAAGATTTGGTCTCCGTCCCAGGAAGAAGAGGGGACTGAACAGGGACTTCACTACCAGTAGAACCCTCGCACACAGAAGACTCAGAGGACGGGTAAACCCTGACAATTGATAAATAAGTTATGGTCTTATAGCATGAAGAGAGGTGCCCTCAGCTAGAAGATAAATAATATTTATGCTGCATAGGAACACATGATCTCCACCAGCATTAGTTTCAGAATAAATTTCATTAGTTTTAACCAACATCATTATATCTGTGCTGAAATAAAATAATTTCATTTACAAATTTCATATTTGAAGCATCATGAATATTATTATCATTATCCGAACAAACTACTTAGATTTTTAAACTGGGACTACAGGA